GTCCTGAGAACTTGACGACTGTTTGAAATTCCAGCTACCTTGCGTGTTTTTTCGTACTGACATTATCAGTCTTACCAGTCTATCTGCTACTTTTTAAGTCTCTCTAGACTAGCTACTTCTCTAAACCTGGACATTTTTCTATCTGTTGCTAGTCATGCCTTTTTTCTGTTTTCCTGTATTTCTATTAGGCATTTTTTAGTAGACATTTAGATACATTTTTCTTTTTGATTGTCTTAGGTCATTCATGGTATTTTGTTTCTGAAGCTTTAACATTTTATCTAGGTACATCCCATTTATTCTGATTCTGGACACTGTTTTGGAGGTACATGGTATGTTTTATACTAATATAAAATGTTTCTAGGAGAACTTGCTTTTGTTTGAATGCCAAGCACTTTCTTAGGGGTAGGATTGTAAAGTTTGCATTCTGAATTCATTCTGAATGAAATAGACAATGTAAGAAATAAATCACATGGAAAAGTTAATGGAGACTGAGGAAGGGAAAAGGGAGGATTGTAAATGTAAGGTACTGTTGAATGCAGTATGACTCATAGCAACCCTGTGAACAGACCTGAATTCAGTTCTATCCTGTGCCATTTTGATCATCTCAGACACACTTGAGCTCATTGCTGCTGTCACTGTCAATCCATTTTATTGAGGATCTTCCTTTCAATAACCTTCCAAGCATGATGACCCCTTCCAAAGAATAGCTTCACTTAACATCACTAAAGTATGAAATATGGAGCTTCATTTTTGCCTCCAACGGGCAAATGAAGAGTTAACTATTTTAAAAAACAAAAGTGGATTGGAAATACCTTACTGAGAAAGTGATTTTTGAGCAGAGGTCTGAATGTGTGGGGGTAAGAGAATTCTGAGCTAAAGAGAGCAAGTGAAAATGACTCTTAGGAGAGCATTCTCTTACATGTCCTCAGTAAAGGTTGGGTGACTAGAACATAACCTACAAAGAGGGTAGTAGCTGAGATCAGAGTTAATGGGCTGAATGATATAATGCAGAAGGCTTCTGGTGTGTGTGATATTACTTATGAATAAACTGTTAATTTTATTAAATATTTCATAATTGAATGATCTGAAAGTATAAGATCATCTCCTGTCCTCCTCCTGTGTTGTATCACTTGACCAGTGCTGCTGTTTGTTGTCACTAAGTCCGTTCTGACAATTGGCATCCCTCTGTGTGTAGAATATAACTGCTCCATAGTTTTCAGGACCTTCAGGCATATTGCCAGACCTGTGTTCTGAGGGGTGGGTCTTCTGAGGGGGATCAAACTGCCAGCCTTTTGACTAGTAGTCAAGTGCTTAGCCTTTTATGCCAGAAAGGGACCCCTATCTGACCAGTAACAACCCCACCCATTCCCCATAAATCAGTCATTAATTTCTTTTATTTTTCTAGGTTTCTTTATGCTTAATATGCAGATACATAAAAGAGCTCTCTGGTGGTGTATTCTATACAGAGTTGAGCTGCTAACTTGAAGGCCATGCCTCTGTGATAGTTAGAATTCACCAGTGACTTACAGGAAGAAAGTTGAGCAGTCTTCTCCCATATGATTTACACCTTGGGAAACCCAATGGAGGGTCAGTTTCGACTTGATTCTAACTTGATGGCAGTTAGTTTATTTTTTTTTAAATTTTATTTTATTATTTTTGTGTGAGTATACCATCAAATCAGATCTGACTGGCACAGGAGGAGATTGTCCCTCCTTCCCCGGCAGAGCATCTGGTGGATTTGAACCGTGCACCTCTGGGATTGTAGTTGCAGCTCCTTACCACTAGGCCACCAGAGCTCCCCTGGCAGTTAATTTATTATAAATTGATCATTATACTAGTAACATAATTAAGACTTTATGCTTTGCTTTTCCTTGTAGCATGAAGGGACAGTCACTGCTGACTTGAAATGCCCAAAGGTGCCACTCTCTGCAAAGGGGATGCTGCTTCAAATGTAGCTGTGTATAGTGGTCAGTGTGCCTAGTGAGAGACAAGGGCTCTGGTCAGAGGTGGTTCCCCCACTTATCCAGGGGTGACTGCAGGCCTCGCTCTGGACGGTCCACTTACTTGGAGGAAAACTTGACTGTAGCGTCCATGCCAGATACAAAAAGGTGCTGGACAGAGATAAGTAGACCTTGGATGGGTTGTGGGGGATGATGCCAACCACCAGGTGGGTGGTGGTGGTAGAGGATAGTTACTTCACTGATTTCCTGGAAGCCACAAGGGGACAAAGGGAATTAATTGTACCTTTCTGTAATGTGCATATTAACAAGTCCTTGTTTCCATACTGAGTGCACATCTATTCAAAATGGTCTTACTGTGCAGTTTAAGTTGTATATTCCTTCAGTTTCTTTATTGTGTTTTCAGTTCCGTCATTCAGTCCATGTTTGAAGTACTTCTTTGTCTTTCCTGTTTAGACTTAGGGATCCAGAATTATCATCTATTTCTTCTGTTACCTTTGTTTTCTGGTGTCTTTGTTGAAGAGGGTCTAAACTGTCAACTCTCTAATCTGCCATCTTACTTGGAAGCCATCCACATGAATCCTGTAACCAGTGTTGATTTTCTTTTCCCATGTTGGCACATAGTCTACTAGTTGATCACTTTTCTGAAACTTTGACATGTTCATTATTCATCTAGGGAGCTCTGTTGGTGTAGTCTCTTTGGCATTAGCTCTGCTAACCAAAGAGTAACATCTCCCTGACAGTTTGAATCCACCAGTGAGACTCAGAGGGAAAAAGATGGCCAGTCTCCTCTCGCACAATTTACAACTTTCCTAAAACCTTAGAGGGTCGGCTATGACATTCATTTTAATTTTGACATAACTATATAATATTTGGACTTTCTGCTTTGCTTTTACACTGAATATTCTTTTGCACTTCTCTGGGGATATTTAGAAATGCTCTGTTATAATGTATGTACATATGCAACTTCACTTGACAGTGCTGGTAGATTGGGTTTGTTAAAACTTCCATTTGTGTGGCTCCACAGTCAACACTCTTGGTACCAGCAGCCAGGAAATTAAAAGATGAATTGCATTGGGAAAGTCCACCATGATTTCACTCTGGAGACTGAGGTGCACCTGATCCAGGCCATGATCTTTACAATTACGTGCAATGCATCAAAAAGCTGGGCAATGATTAGGGATGATAGGAGAATTGAAGCCTTTACACTATGGTGCTGAAGAAGAGTATTGAATATTCCATCAACTGCAAGGAGAATAAACAGGTTTGTCCTGGAGAGGATGGAGCCAGGCTGCTCCTTGGAGGCAAGGATTCTGAAGCTCCATCTGACATACTTTGGACGTGTTGCAAGGAGGGACCAGTCCTTGAAGGAGGACATCAAACTAGGGAGGATGAAGGGACAGCACAAGAAATTAAGACCTTGGGTGAAATGGATTGACTCAGTGACTTGAGTAACAGATAATTGTGTCGGAGACAATAAGGTTGGCTCAGGGTTCAGAGCTGTTTGTACATAGGGTCACTGAGTTGCAGGTAATTTGATGGCACCTAACATCAACTGTAGAAGAGTGACTGGTGGTACCAAAGAAGTTGATTATGGATCCAAGCAAGATAAAATCTCTAATAATTTCAATCTTTTCACCATATATCATGATGTCTCCCACAGACGCACTGGTAAGAATCTTTGTCTTCCTTGCTGTTAAGATGCAATCCTATTTTTAAAAAAGATATAATCCGTAAGGAGATGCATGATACATTGCTTTGGGCAAGTCCACTGTTGGGAATTTCTACAAAATACTAGAGAGCACTGACGTTGGAAGAATAAGGTGCGCCTGACTCAGGCCATGGTCTTTTTAGTTACTTGCTATACATCTGAGAGTAAGGATGTTAAAAGAATTGATGCCTTTGAGTTGTGTTGGTGAATATCCCATGGTCTGCAAAAAAAGCACAGGTTTGCCTTGGAAAAGATGCAGCTGGAGTGTTCCTTGGAGATGCAGGGATGACAAAGCTTTGTTTTTCATACTTTTGGACATAGTGCTGGGAGAGGCAGTTCCTTTGAAAATGCTTGGAAGGTTGGAGGGGCAGCAAAAGAAAGGAAGACCCTCACTGAGATGGATTGACCCAAAGACGCAGCAATGGGCTCAAGTATTAGTGATAGTGAGGATGGTAACAGGATAGGACGAGAGAGCACTCTGGTGGCATAGTCTCTAGGGGGTTTGCCTGTGATGCTTCTGATGGTTTGAGTGCACCAGTAACTCCACAGGAGAAAGTTGGACATTCCCCTCCTGTTCAGTTTACAACCTCTGAAAATCCTCTGAAAAGTCAACTAGCTATTAGTTGATTCAGACTCCATGACATGACATTGAGGGTTTTTAGAGGACAGAAATTCATGTTTCCATCACACTATTGCCAACTAGTAATATAAAAATCTTGATTTGCTTTTGGGATCACTCTAAAATAGTACATGTAAATGTATTTAGATACACTATTTGAATATAAAACAGTATATTCAGCACTCTCAGTCTCATTAGTAATCAGACAGACTAATACACTGATTATTAATGAAACTGAGGGAGCTCTGAATGGTTTAGTGGTAAGGAATTGCACTGCCTACCCAAAGGTACATGAATCTGTCATCTCTTCCTAGGGAGAAAGATGAACAGTTTCTTCCCATGCAGTTTACTGCATTACTGAATTATCTGTTCATATGTTTTTTCCTAGTGTTTTTTTTTAAACGTTTGTATTCTGAAAGCTAATCTAGTTTGCGTATTCTAGATATCTTCTAGTGAGTTTTCTTTATAACTTTATTCTTGCATAGATTTTTAATGAATCTAGTATTATCATTTGTGATTTACTAAGATCTTCTACCTTATAGGATTGTAAAGATTTCTTCAAGCTTCATTTTTGCTTTTCAAATTTGTCTGCTAACTTACTGCTTAAGGCAATCTTTAGCCAGTTCTTAACTAATTTGTGGGAATAACCTGATCAGCAGTAGAACGGATATATTATGATATGCTACAAAGAAGTGAATTTTTGTTGTTGCAGGTCATTCAGTGGTGCACTCACCACAAAGATGACCCACCTCCTCCTGAGGATGATGAGAACAAAGAAAAGAGAACAGATGACATCCCCGTTTGGGACCAAGAATTCTTGAAAGTTGACCAGGGAACACTTTTTGAACTTATTCTGGTATATTTTTGGTATATACTATTCTGATAAATTATAAGGTGTATGTCCCAGAGTCTTTAACACTTCTTATGTTAAATTTATTGATAATGCAATGTAGCACTCATTGAATTCAAATCCCTATATTTGTATCACAAAGTGACTTTTACCTAAATACCTATGAAAGGCAGATTATAAAATCAGATTATAAAAGCAAGATTCAACTATGCTGTTAAAAGACATCTACTTGAAATATAAAGACACAAGTCTGAAGAATGGGAAAGGTACATACACTGTGTTAACATTAAAGGAGCACTAGTGGCTTAGTGGTTAAGCATTGAGCTTCACTGAAAGGTCAGTGGAACCTGCCAGAAGCTCTCTAGTTATCTGTTCCCATAGAAATTACAGTCCAAGAAACCCTATTGATTGGAGCTATTCTCTAGAATTGCTGTGAGTCAGAATTGACTTTACAGCACATAAAAAGATGCTAACACTAACCAAAGAAAGCTGGAGACTATAGACTCTTGCAAGGGGTAGAAGGCCACTTTCATAATGTTAAGGGAACAAGGTGGAACTCGAGAAATAGCTCCATCATCATAGAGATTTTAATTAGCATCTCTATAATTTATATAAGTAGTTAGATCATACTAAAGCTGTAGAAGACAAAGTTAAACAATGACCAACTTGTCTTGACATTTATAGAACACAATACTAATGGCATTAGAATACTTGAATTAAGTGTATACTACATAGATAGATTATGTTCTAGGTCATCAAAGGGGTCTCACATTTATAAGAATTTAAACAAGGGAGCTCTGGTGGCCTAGTGGCAAGAAGCTGCACAGTTGGAATCCACCAGATGTTCTGCTGGAGAAAGAGGGGAAAGCTGTGCCACTCAGATCTGATTTGACAGTACACAAGAAATGAAATAAACTTATTAAATAAATTTTATTAATAAAAGAATTGGCGGCGAGGCGGTGGGGTTCTGCGCTCGACCTTCTGTGCTCTGGCCGATGGGGTTGGCTTGCTAACCCAGGTTCCCCTCGGCGCACCCCCCCCCCCTTTATTTTGGGGCACTCTGGTGGCCTAGTGACAAGAAGCTGCACTGCAATCCCAGAGGCATATGGTTCGAATCCACCAGATGCTCTGCTGGGAAAAGAGGGACAATCTCCTGTACCAGTCAGATCTGATTTGATGATACAGACACACAAAATAATAACAAAATAAAAATTTAAAAAAATTAAAAAAATTTAAAAATACAAAGTATGTATTTTGGACCACAGTGAAAATCTAACATAAAATTTAAAATGAGAAGTCATTAACATAAAAATAACCGAAAACTTGCTGATGTTTGAAAACAACATATTTGTAGCATTTAATGGAAATAAAAACAACTCCTCAAAATCTGTGTATACGCTAAAATAGTAAATTAAAATAGTATTTAATTAAAATTAGGAATTAAAATAGTACTTAGAAAGCACTGAACATACCTATATTAGAAAAGGTCTCAAATGATCTAAACTCAATTTTAAGAAACTGTTAAACTCAAGCATAGAAAAGGAAATAAAGAACAGAAGCCAATAAAATAGAAAATAAGAAAACCAATGAAACAAAAACTAGTTCTCTGGGAAGCACTTTATCTGTTTCTATTTTGAACTCAGCATGAATGAATGATTTTTGCTTTGACGTGTGCTTGTCCCCTACCCTCACACTTCCTCAAATCACCAGATTGTGCTGCCTTAAGCAGACACAGATGAACACAAAAATCCCTTTCATAGGAGAGCTTTTATCTGATTTATAATCCTTTTAATTTCTTAAAATTAACTCACATTTTCGGTTTAATTAGGTAGGATTTTCAGTCACTTTGATTTCATTTTTAAGCATCAGATATACTTGAATAAAAACTTTTACTTGACAGGCTGCAAACTACTTAGACATCAAAGGTTTGCTTGATGTTACATGCAAGACTGTTGCCAATATGATCAAGGGGAAAACTCCTGAGGAGATTCGCAAGACTTTCAATATTAAAAATGACTTCACCGAAGAGGAAGAAGCCCAGGTAGGTAGCTCACAGCTTGTCCTTGATCATGCTAAAAACATTTCAACCCATTTAACATGCTAGGAGACGTGGTCTTTATCAAGAACTCTTGACCTTCAAAGATGAATAGTCAGTATCTTCTGTGTCATAAATATAATCTTAGTCTGTCTGGGCTCTAGTGGTGAGAACCTGCACTGCAATCCCAAAGGCATGTGGTTTGAATCCACCAGAAAAGGATGGGCAGTTTCCTCTCCTCCCCTTTGATTTACTGCCTCCAAAAACTTGGTGGAGCTTCAACTGTGGGTCATTTTCAACTCGATGGCCCCTAACAACAGTAGTCTGGTTTTGAGTGTAAATGTTTTACTCGTATTTGGGGGGTTTTAATAGTTCCCCAAAAAGTTTTCAATCAAAGGAGCCTGTTAGATATGAAATCACTTAGCAGTTAGAAATTTTGCCATTTGGTTATATTGATACATACTTGATTTTGGTAAAGCAGGCATATGGGTTGACCTGTACTGGGACACCTCAAAGCATTAGTGAATGGGAGAAAATGAATCAATAGATCAGAATGATTTTGTTGACACACTACAGACTAAAAGTATGTGAAAAAGCTATTCGGTTGTTCTCTGGGGTTTGGTGACTAAAGTTGTAATGGCCAATTAGCACCTCTACTTTTCACCAGGACAGAATAAAAACCTGAAATAGACTTTGATAGGGCACCTGAAAATGCCTTTTTAATGTATTATTTTTCCAGTTTTTCCTGACTCAACTCAGACTGCTAATGAGTCATTCAAATCTTAATAGGCCATTCAGGTTAAAATATTTTCTTGTATTTCTGTTTTTCAGGTACGCAAAGAAAACCAGTGGTGTGAAGAGAAGTGAAATGTTGTGCCTGACACTGTAACACTGTAAGGATTATTCCAAATACTAGTTGCACTGCTCTGTTTATAATTGTTAATATTAGACAAACAATAGACAAATGCAGCAGCAAATCAATTGTATTAGCAGAATATTGTCCGTATTGCATGTGTAGTTTGAGTACAGATTTCAAAACCTATAGTTGAGTTTGTTCTAGTGTGATCAAACTTGTTCCTTCTTTGCTTTGAAAATAAAACCGAACTGTGAGTTCTCCATAGAAAGTGGCATTTTGGATTTCCCCTCGTTTTTGTAAAGCAATTTCTGCCTAGTTTTAGTTAGCAATCTTTGAGAAGTTGGCATTGTAAATAAAACAACAAAAGTTTCTGAGAGAGAATTAGCAAGGTGTTACCTTTATTCATGAGTTAGAAGCTGTAAAAGGGCTACTTGAGATCACGATCCTAGTTGGCTTTATTGGGATTGTCTTCTAGCTCCAAAGAATCAAGGAATATTACCAGTAAGGGTTAGTCTGTATGTCGCAGGTCTCCTTTAATTTAATCCTAGCACTTGTGATATCAGTCTTCTTAGCATTTTGGCTAGAGACTTAGAGTGACAACCCGATTTGTGTGTGTTTTCAGGGAGAAATGTAACCTAGGCAGTTTGTTAGCTTTTCAATTAAAAAAAGACACTTAACTCATGTGGTATGTCATCTTTTTCTAATCAGTGTTCTCATGTGGGAAAAACTATTCACACTACTTGCATGTTAAAGACTTAACATTAAAATGTGTTAAAAAACCTAGACAGCATCTATCATGAATGCAAGATACTGTCAATAAAATGTAAGTTACATATTGTTGTTAATAAGTTACACAGTAGGTAGTAAATGGTTTGTTTTTGGGAACTTAACATGTGTCTCCACTTCTACACCTTAAATTATGTATCTTTAAAGAGCAGGTAGTTCACGTTTTAGCTCACTAAGAGGCTGCTGACAACAGTTGGGTACCTAACAGACTTCTCTCATTGTTACCATTTACATGGTTATCTGAGGCCAACTCTTCAGTTCTTAGCTGCTGTACTGCAGGCACACAAAACTGCTACTATTGTTTCTTGCTTCCCACTTAGTGTGAAATGACATTTTCTTGATGAATTAGGAATTTTTGTTTTTTTGTTTTTTTTTTCTATAATTATATTTTATTAATTTTTATGGAATTTTTGTTTTTTATGTTCTTTTTCTTTCCATTGCCATTTTCTGTATTTATATGTAATCTTACTGTATTCTTTTCACACTTGGAGCTTTTCTTGTCCAAATTATCACTAAGAGTAGGGTTGATTTATTTTGCCCTTTACTTGTCTAGAATTCACCTTTTAAATAAAACCCCATGTACTGTCTCACATTAAATCCCATTCTTTTCCTTTTTACTATAATTTGAGTGAATTCCTACAAAGAAAATAAATTTTCTATTTAACCATTCATACACATTTCGTTTTATGATGTTATAATGCCCATAATGTTACTATACTTTTCTCTTTTCGACTCTTAATTTCATTAATTCTTCTGTTTTGCCCCTTCCTGCTTTCTAAACTTTATCTCTTGAGTAAATCCTAACATTTTTATTTTTGTGTAGTTGATCATTAAGGAGTAAATGCCTCCCTGATGGTAATATTTGCCTTTAAACTTATCCCTTGATGGCTAAAAGCCACAGGAGTTAGGTTTAAAGGGAGAGTTAGGTCTTAGGGGTGCTACCAGTCTCTCCTAGTAAGTCTAGTCTTCTATTTTTAAGGATTTAAACACAAGCCTACACATATGCTATAGAGACTGTATTTTGCCATAAGCCTAAAATATTTACTGTCTAGTCTTTTGCACAGTTTGCCAACTGCTACGATTATTTTTTCTAGCAGTAATTCTTTCCTTTCCAGAAGTAAGCTTATTTCCATCTGAAATTATCGTAAGAAATAGGCAGAATCTGGCCCTCACTTATTTGTCTCATTTTTAAATTTCCAGTAACTTTTGCAGAAGGCTTCTCCATCTCAAGTATCAAACTAGGATTCCTACAAATATGAAAATAAGTCTTATTAAAGGTACAGGATTATTAGCCTGTGCTATATCACATGGACTGGCAAAAGAACAAGCAAGTCTGTCTTGAAAGAAGGTACTTCTTGGAGGCAAGGACTTCGTTTGAGTTTGGACAGTCCATTTAACCAGGAGGGGCCTGTCCTTCAGGGGGATACATGCTAGGAAAGATGGAGGGTAAGGGAAAGAGACCTTTAAGGATATGGATTGACAGTGAGTGTAAGACTTGACGCAAACATCAGAAAATATGTGGCACAAGATAGGGAACAGTTCAGATCTTGTTCAGGGTCTTTTGATGGTACATACCATCAAATAATAAACAAGAAATAAGAGCTCTTGATTTAGAGAACACTCAGGAATTGTTAGACTTACAGGTACAGTTAACATTTATACAGTGTGATTACCCATATTTAAAGGACCCTTGAATCTCAGAATAGGTAAAATTGAGTAGTAATTTGGTGCCTGTCTTGAAACGGATATCCTGATTATCATAAACTCTTCTATTTAATTAATGCAGCATTTAAGAATAATAGGTCACTTTTGGTCAAAAAAGTACCCAAAGATTATAGTACACAAACTATAATCACAGGCTTGGTTAGGCACCCTTCACATTAGTTGTAGTATTTTTCTCCTTTCCCCAGCTCCCAAATCCAAGAGTTTTGCAGGCTTTCATCATGTATGTGTAGTACTTTACATTATCATTGACAACAAAACTTCACACAATCTCCAAAGTGACCTATTCTTGCCTACACTTCTTTGCCTCCCAGATAGTCTAATATGGCATGAAATCATAGCCAAAGATTAGAGTTCTACCTCTTTGTTGTTTTTTTTTTATTATTTTGTGTGCGTGTACCGTCAAATCAGATCTGACTGGTACAGGAGGATATTGCGCCTCCTTCTCCGGCAGAGCATCTGGTGGATTCGAACCGTGATCCTCTGGGATTGCAGTTACCTCTTTGTTTTAATGCCTGTAGTGTCGCGTAAGTTGATTGCTGCAGTTAACTTGAAGAGTCTAGTGCAGTTTGCATTGTTGTGTACCATAGTGTCGGAACTGACCTATAGCTGACTCTGGAGTTTTGGTTTTCTTTTTTCTTTTTCTTTTACTCTGGAGAGTTTTAAAGGCAGTTTACCCTATACCTTTGAGATTGCAGCACAGCTTCTTGCCACTAGGCCACCAGAGCTTTAGTTATCCCAGTACTTGATAGAGGTCACTTGAGGCATTAGCACTTCACAGTGAATATCTATCTCAGAAACATAATGAAAGAACCTTGTGAAATGCAGTTGACTTGCAGTAAGGTTGTGCTGCCCTCAAATCCTAATCATTTGGACATTTTTTTTTAGTATTTGAATATTTTATTACTTCATCTTCATAAATTTGCTTTTAATACAAAGTGGTTGCAACTTATTTTGCTCTTTTTCATAATTATCACAGATTTTTATAGATCTCTTAATTGATGTGATTTGTTTATCCTACTTGATATTTTTATATCAAACTCTATCAGCTGCTGGAATTAAATAAGGTCTATATTCTGTTCATTAGAGAAACAATAGTTCCAGAACAGGGTTCAGTCTTTTGTTCATAGGGTCACTATGAATCATACCCACCTTGATGACACTTAACATATTCTGTTTATAGAATTGCTGTGAGTAGTAGTCAGCTCAGTGGCACTTGACAACAGCATATTGTCACTTAACCATGGTGGCATAGTTTGTATTAGGGACTAACTAAAAAGGTCAGTGGTTCAAAGCCACCATCTACTCCATGGGAGATAGATGGGAAATCTGCTCCTATTATGGTTTAAAGCCTTACTAAACTATTGGGGGGGGGGGCGGGGGGTGTAATCAAGTCATTGGAAAAAAACCCTACAGTGAAAAACGGGTCCTGTCTTACTTGGTGGACATACAGATAATTGGACTGTGTATAACATGATATCATGGTTTACCCTGGAACTGTTTGGGGAGGGAGGAGATTCACTATGAGCATGTGGCTCAGGACAGATAGTTACTCATTTACTTTAGAGTTTTGCCAGATAACTGTGCTGTATTTTCTGATCTTAAGGTAAACTAAGGGCTCTCCTTTCTTCCACCATCACATTGAGTGTAACCACTGTGTATTCATTATGTCCTCCCCAAGACTCAGGATCAAGAGAATAAAAGCAGAATTTCTCCATTTCCTATTGGATTTGAATGTAAACTGGTAATAAAATCAGATACATCTCCCAAGAGGAGACCTTGGAGAACAACGAAGTAGGATCTAAAGAGTCACACATATGATGGTACTCACATTTCCTAGGTTTACTAGCATTGTACCACGTCAAATTTACCAGCACTGTGCTATATCAGTGTTAAACATTACATCAGAATCGATGTCTGGTGGCCTAATGGCAAGCCATCGTTCAAATGGCACATGGTTCCAATCCACCAGCTGCTCTGAGCGAGGAGAATTGACAGTCTCCTGTGCAATTTACTGCCTCTGAAAACCCTCTGGAAGGCCAGCAGTGGGTCAGTTCCAGCTGAGTGACACACAGCAACAACATTGGGAAACCTCTGACTCCCCGTTTTTATACATCCACATTAAGGGATTTATTAATGTGAGACCCTTGGTGTGTGGGAGTGAGAACAGAAAGGGTGTCTAGGCTCTCATGGTAGTAGTTGAAATGGTAACTGGAAGAAGCTTCTCTCAGGACAGAGCAGACTAATGAATAAGCTGCAAACCTCGTATTAAACATTAATATATATATTGATAATTAACAATATATTTTTGAAGTACACTTTATACTTAGTTGAATCTTATCTTGCAAAATGGCTGCCACCATTTCTATAAGATTTTTTTTTCTTTTTCTCAAGCTTAATATATAAATATGTGTGTCCAGGTGAGGAATCAATCTAAAAATTTCCTTGATGGTGCTCTTGTGTAATGATATAGATGAAACATAATGGTACAGTCTGTTAATGTGTTAGTAACTTTTACTTGCCTCTGTAACAGAACTGTGGCATTTTGTAGAGGAAATGTAATTTCTGGCAACACTACACATGCCTCTCTTTATCATATCCTTAATGCCCCTCAACTTAAAAAATTTAAATATTTCTTAACACTTAAATCTGCTATGTGGCAGCCTCCACTTACACTCTGGGTATCTTACCTGCATTGTAAGAATCTTTTAGCCCTGAGGGCCTCTTCAGCCCTCTAACCCGTCTGCTTCAGATACTCTGCAGATAATTTTTGTCACAGATTTATTGAAAAGAGTGGGAACATAGAATTGTACTCTGTAAACTATTCACAAGGGATTTCCAGAGTGGTTTTATTTGCAGGGTTAGGCTAGTGGTGGTACATGGATACTAATGTCTCCTCCTCCTCAACCCTATTTTCTCTACCAACATTGGCTGCACACACCTGAAAGAACAAGGCTTCACTTTAAGTGAATGAGAGAACACTTTGATGAGAGGTCCAAAGTCCCTGATGAACTTGAAAGAAGTGTCAGTCTGAGCTAGTAACATTACCTCTTGTAATTCATAGCAGCTGCCTAGTGATACCAAGGGTGGGATATCACTTACCTTGTATTTGTACCGTGACCTCACTTCTGAGAACTGCCAGGATAGTTTGTATCTTCTTCCAGTTGACTCTGCCCAACTCCACACTGTCCTTAGCAACTTGAAGATCTTGCCTGATTGAAACATGCCTATCTGCTGTTTTTTTTAAACCTCTGCCTGATATGTTGACTAGCTAAAGTTAGGGCTCCCCTCAGATCTTGTTGCCATCTGAGGATAAGTAGAACAGTAAAGGTCTGTTGACTCTTGCAGTCTTAGAAAGCTGAATTAAAAAGATGTGCCACATATCTGAGATCTGGAGCAAGAGGGGACTGGAATAATTAGTTGACAAAACTTAGAATCTACTTGGGACACCAGCTTTGTTTCAAAGCCCCTTGGTGTTCCCTGTAAATCTCTTAAAATCTCAGTAATTGTGTTAGTATGCTAAAAATGGTCAGTGTTAAAATACTTTTTCTTACATCAAAGAAAATCCATTTTATAATAAATTAGCTTTGGCCCTTAAATTATTATTCCTTGATACATAGGATAGGCAAGTGAGATTTTAAAAACAAGATTTTTACTTTTGTCCACTGTGTAATTTCTGCTTTTCTAACGACTGTCCTCTGGAACAGAACATAAAGAAGCCGCATCTACTTTGCATGTGTGGCCTTCTGACCAGGCTAACCATACACTGAATAGAGCTGTGCAACATTGCTGCCAGAAGGAACCTGAAATCTGGGAATTACCCAGAATGTTAGAGCTCAGCAGGAAAATCTAGCCACAGTGTCTCCGAAGAGGAATAAACTCGGTGTTGGGAGACTTGGGGAAGGCCCTCCTAGGGCTAAGGTGCAGCTGCAGTAAGAAGGGGATGCCAGCTGTTAAAGGACATCAGTCACTGGATGGGAGGCTACACTATGATGTCCTATGTGTTATCAGGGTGGCTGCTTTGGTGGCAGTGAGATATGCCTGGTGTGGGAATTTTAAGTTGGATTTGGGTGTTGCAAGTACAAGTCATCCTCTGGCCTCACTGGAATGTACTGGTGATTTGGGAGGGTTCAAGTTTCTTCTGATTGTTACTAAAGCCCATTTCTGTATTCTCATACACAGAGGGTGCATTGTTCATGTATCTAGTGTACTCTGAATGAGTACCAAATCAGATGCAGCTAATTCAGTCTTGCATAAGCTCTAGTTGTTGTTGTTATGTGCTGTCGAGTCGTTTCCAACTCATAGCGACCCTATGCACAAGAGCTCTAAACCCTGCTCTATCCTGCGCCAACCGCACCGCCTCTGGAATTCTTTAAAAGGGGACAGATGTCAAGGAAATGGTTGGTCTCTAGCACCCTCTGTAGCAGGTGCTTCAGGTCCTCTTCAGTTTCAGCAAGCAGGGTTGTCATCTGCATAACGCAGATTGTTGATAAATCATCCCCCAATCTTGACCCCACATTTCTCCTCATAGAGCCCAGCCTCCCGGATAATCTGTTCTACATATAGGTTGAAAAGGTATGGAGATAGGATGCATCCCTGGCGTATGCCCTTCCCAATTTTGAACTGTGCAGTGTTCCCTTGCTCTGTTCTGACGACTGCCTCCTGGTCGCATTAGAACCATCAAGTGTTCTGGGATTCCCATTCTTCTCAGAGTCAGCCATAGTTGATGATCCACACAGTCAAATGCCTTTGCATAGTCAATGAAACACAGACATTCCTCTGGTATTCTCTGCTTTCAGCCAAGATCCATCTAACATCAGCTACAATATCCCTAGTACCACGACCCCTTACTAGGAAAGAAACCTTAAATTTTGTGCTGTGTAGGTGAGTCATGGCTCTGTGACTAACAGCTTATTCCTCAGGATCAAACTATGAAAAAGAAACCCAATAAAAAGCATCTTTATTTTTAAAAAATGATTCTATGATGCATAACAGTACAAAAATATTATGAACACTACAGTGGCCTTTTCTCCCCCTTTAAGATTTACTACAGTGCTACACGAGAAGACATGATCTTTGGATTCTGTAAAACCAATGGCTAAAGTAGGAACTAAAAGCTTTTCTTGAGGGTGTGTAGGGGAACCTGGACAGCTTTTTCTTTGGGTTCAGGCTGTGTACAGTGAAGTGGATGCAAAAACATTAAATAATAAAAGACTTGTTTTTCAAGGCTCAGGGTCAAAGCTTGGCTCAGAAATGGGTTTAAGTAGCGGTGAGACCCACTGTTCACCACTAGAGGTCATCTGGGCTTCTTGCTTTGGTGGTAATGGTCCCCCATCTGTCCCCTGCAGCTCCATTGGAAACTGATGCTAGCCTGGTTTGGTGCTGGGGATAGGCATTTGGTGTTGGTGTGAGGTCTAGGGTTTACTCTTTCAAAACTGCCCAAGAGCTGTCTAGACATGGGTAGCATCTATGAAGAAAGTTCTCTGAAAGGGAAGTGATAATAGATTTGGGCTATCATGTCTTTGAACTGTTACCTGCAGCCTCTAGAAATTGGTTGAGACAAGAGTGACAGCTTGGTACTGGGGCTTCTTAGGTAAGCATCTCAGGAAACATTTCCAAGTAATCTGAACACCTACCACACACACTTGCCTGATAGGATAGTGTCAGGTTATCCTGTTGCCTTGGTGACAGACAGCCTATCTCATTCTCTCCTGAGCTGCCTGTATCTCTTGCAAACTCCTGAGAACTCAGAAGTTTCCTCTGGTCCCGCTTAAAAGAGTAGCAACTGGTTTTTTGAAATAGCTTCTGCAGTCCCTTCAAAAAAAGACTTGTCAAAAAAAAAAAAGACTTGTCATCTTGAGCTTTGTTGTTCACCATGCTTCCATATTGTCTGACAAACCAGATCATTCTTGGTTTGTGAAGTGTCTGGTATGGGGACAGTGTGGAGGTGGGGATGCAGGGGTAGGGAGGGCAGTAAAGTCCATCTCTCACCTAAGGCAGAAAAGCAGGGAGGCAAGGAAGCACGTGACGAGCAAGACATGGCAAAATAGCAGGCTGCCACAGGTACAAGGGATGCCCTTAATGACATCATAATTCTCTGATCCCCACCATTCAGAGCTGTTTGAATGAGTGGCCCAGGTTCAGGCGGAAGATGTGCAGCCTCGGAAATCTCCAGGGCATGAAGCCTGAGGGGGAGTAAGCAGGGCGCCAGGTCGATTTCCACGTGCTTTGGGGCTCTGTCGTCTCCTTTCAGGAGGCGGGCTCCTGGAAGCCACCAGGTGTTCTGGGCCTGCTCTGCTGCCTGTCTCTGAAACTCCTAGGGCACCTGTGCCCTCTGCAGGGTGCTGTGGGGGGGCTGGGAGGCTCAGAGTGGCAGAGAGACCTGGTGATGTAGGCGCTGGCTCCGCTGGACTAGCAAGCAGTTCTGTGGGGTAGTGGGGCAGCAGGAGGTATGAGGGTGAGTCCTGGGGGGCTGGGGACCTGGGACAGCCTAGAGCACTGTCATCGGAAGGAACTGGGCTGGGGCAGCGGCCTTCTCCGGGTAAGTACCGAATGCATTTCTTTTTCCTCCTAGGAATAGTGAAGAGAGTTATCTGTAAACAGAGGGTGAATTCATAGTCATATACCACAACCAAAAAATGCTGTCCTAGCACAGGCCTAACTGATCTCTTGTCCCCTCTCCCAGTGACTTCAACGACATACCCTGAATTGGCACTGCCATTCTATTGTGCCTGACTTCTGTGGCCAACAGGTAGCTCACAAGGACCTTTTGTAACAAAGGCTGGTGGTTTCTAGGTAGTCAACCTCTTAGTTTGCACCTGCTAGGCTCTGGTTCATGTGCCCAGGCCTGCATTTGGGCAAGGGCTGCAGTGACTATAGCTGCTGGGTCTGGAAATGAACTGTGACTCTTCTCATCTGCTTATGTATCACCCTGAATGAAGTCCTCTGGGCCACACTATGTATCTAACATGTCTAGTCTGGAGTCCTCTCTGGTTCTCAGGGATTCCTCTGGGGCCTGACATAACAGATTTCCCTTTACCTTTCAGCAGGGAACACAGCTGGGTACTTGAAGGGGATGGATAATAAATTTACACCTTGGTGACCTCATTGCCTAGGTATTCTATTCTAGGTATTCTGAGGGTATTCTACCTCAGCACTGCCAGACTTTGAACCTAAAGTAGGCAACTTCAGTCACTGTGTGTGTTTATCTTTTCACACATTCCATTATTGTCTTGTTGGGTGAAACACAGGCTTAATCCTGAATACGGCGTTTCTAAGGAGTACATTCTTCTAACTCAGGTACTCGGAGTAGGTACAAGAGGACAGTAAGTCACATTATCACCAGCTATGTCATTTAATACTATAGTCTCTTCATTTTTTTTATGTTTAAGGGGTCCCAACTTGGTAGACGAAAGGGAGGGGGGAGACAGCTATTATGAGCTTGAGGCCTGGAAGCAAGGGTGTGCAGACCACCTGAGAGACAGTAAGAGGTGTCTGTTGGGAAGGAACCTTAAGTGCCAGAGCCACTTTCTTGGGACTGCCCTTTCCACATATCTTGGGGGGAGAGATTTTCTTGTTTCATTCTGTTTATTCTTCCACCCTATACGCAGTTGTTCTCATGAGCTGTATTCACTCCCATTCTTGGGAGGCATGGGGTCCTCATTTTTTGGGTCTGTTAGGGGCTGGAAGAGCTGAGAGAGAACTGCAGGCCCAGCAGAACCTGTGCAGAATTAGGGAAGCAGCTTGAAGCAAGAGGGGAGGGTGGTGGGGACAAACCCACCTGCACGGACCACACCAATCCGTCTGCTGGTTGAGGCCAAAGCGAGCACGACATTTCTTAGGCGAGCCAGGGTCTGCTCAGACATGCCAGAGGGGCAGAGCAGGGCAGAGGGCGAGCAGGCAGGCAGCGGGGCAGAGCAGGGCCCAGAAAGAAGAGGCAATATCAGTGTTAGCCAGTCACAGATACCCCACAGCCCCCACAGGCAGAGTCGGCCTCTCCATGGCACAGCCAGGTCCAGTGGGAGCCTCAGGGTATCAGGAAAGGGGTCTCCAGCTGAGCACGAGAGGCAGTAAGAAAAGTGGTGGCTAGGGGAGGGCAGCACTTCTGCTGTTCTGCTCTGGCTTGTGGGGGGCCTTTAGCTGCAGCAGGGGTCCATGGGGATCCAGCCACTGCTGCCTGCCTCTTTCCCCAACTCCTAGCAATGTCTAATAGGCTAATTAACATATGTTCCTCAGTTTGCACCTATTCCACACACTTCCAAATGGAAAGAAAGGTCTTAGCTTCAGGGAAAGGAGGTTTCTGTCCTAGCCACAGTCCCCAGCTTTTCCATATGGGGACAGTGTAACTGGTAAAGGCATGGATATGGAATCTACAGTCAGAGTTTGGGGGAGGAGGTGGCAGTAATTCACCTATAGGAAGACCTGTGGTAAAGGATGGGCCCTCTACACACAGCACTGTGTACTGCCATGAAAAATTAAGCTTTGAGACAATCCCATTACCAGCCAACAACATTGCTGAGCATAAGGCCTGACCACCCTCCTTCCAGATGCCAATTGCCCACTGCAGGGTGCATTGCTTAGGGGTACATGCTGAACTATACCCCCTCTATTCCTCACTACCTCCCCTAGGAGAGGCTTACTGGGGACAGCAGAATGGCATAGAGGAGGTAATCCACCCATGCATGAACTAGCTTCTGCTCTTCCTTCTTGGGATTAAGTACAGCTATTCCTTGCAGAGGTTTGACTTGTAAGATGCAGGCCTGGGTACATGGCTGAGCCAGAGCTGAGATGCTCCTGAAATGGCTTGGAAATAGCCCCCACTAGCTGAGAGAAGGCCTCACCTGTGTTAGACTCTTGGTGCTTTTCCCTTGAACGCCTCTTTTTCTTTCCCTGAAGGAAACAAAAGAGAGACCCAGATCTAGGAAGCAGTTGCTGTGGCACCCGCAAGTGCTGCCCAGCCCATCTGCATGGGGTGCTTCAGAGAGCTGCTATCTCTTCTCCCTGGTCCCCCATTTTGAATGAAGGGGTATGAATTCCTGCCCCTCTTCCTGTCTTTCTGTCCATTTACTTGGCCAGGTGTTTACCTGGTTATATGTGAGTGCACTCTGGGGTGGGAAGTGGGCGGTTTTACCTGGTTTGGCCTCTTCTGAGCTAGCCACTGTTAGGACTGAATTTTTTCCAAATGTGTTGGACATTTAACCCCTATACCTATACAAAGGCTTAGTGCATCTGCTAACCAACAGGTCAATGGTTTAACTCCAACAGGTGCTCTGTAGGAGAAAAATGGTCTCCTATAGATTAACAGCTGCAGAAACCAGATGGAAAAGTCTCTATGAGCTGGAATTAACTCCATGGAAATGGATTGTATTCCGGGTGTAATCTATTAAGATGCAATAATTTTCTAAATGCAGTTAGCAGAGATTGTACTAGCGTGGTGTAGATTTTATGCCTAATGCCATCTGACTAAGGAACCTATTTATTAGGCCAGGAACTCAACTTCTAGAAACTGAAATAAAGCGCTCCCCCTAGAGCCACACACTGAATTCAGCAGTGCCACTGAAACCAAACTTGGTGCACTATGGATACTGGAGCATCCAGCATTAAACATGAGGTTGGAGTTGCCAGTGTTCCAATTATATCCCTCTCTCCTTGCCTTTGTATTCAATTGCCTCTTTCCCACTTGGCCATCTCATTCCTAAGATGCTAATCAACCTATGTCTGTGATTATTTCTTTGACGGTAACTAAGACACACGGGCCTTGGACCCTCTACGCTCACCACCTTCTCCCTCATCTCTGCCTTAAGGACAGAAGTCCCGTCTTCTCTGCTGAGATTCCAAGTGAGACAAGGCATCTTGACCATGCCCATCACCCCGCTATATCACCAGCCACTCACATAATTGTCCCGCGCTGACCAGCCTGGGTAGAGCTGCATGTGCAGCTGCCTCTCTTTTCGGGCCAATTCGTAATACTTGGCTTGCTCTTCCCGAGACAGTGCGTGCCACTGCAACAGGTGTGGGGTGAGGTGAGGAATGAGTACACCAGAAGTCAGCAGGCTGCTGCCAGATGAAGGGTGGCAGGGTCCTACCCCACCCCCGCCTCCCTGCTACCTCACCCTTCGTCCTAGGATCTGGTTAATGGCGGCGCTTTCCTTGAGCGTGCACTCTGCAATGACTTTGGCTCTCATCTCCTTCATGTACAGCATGAAGGCATTTAGAGGCTTCTTGATTGTGGGCTTCTTGGTCTCCTTCTCGACCTTGGTCTCTGCCTGGGTCTTCCTGAGAGGCACATATACAGGTCACTCAGGAGCCCCAGTGCTCACCTCATGCCACCCCCTTCCTTCAGTGTGTCTAATGTGTCTGTGGCTGGATAAGAGGTTTTTTTAGCTACTTCAAAGGGGGTGAGCTGAAAAATAACTTTTTTGTTTAACAGGAATATTTTAGTGAGAGGAAAATTAAAGTGTTAGGCTGCTCAGTCTCTCCTCATAATTCAAACTAAAACCTTTATCCCACCAACTCGTCCTTCTGCTTTTGAGGATGAAAAAAAAAAAATACAAGCCAGAGATTAGAGATCCGTGGGCTTGGACTTAAGGCTTGACCAGGGCAGTCCTTGAAATTCCCAGGCAGCAGACTTTGGGCCTGGTGGGGGCAATGTGTGTCCTGCCTGGAACTGGATGTAGGAAAAGGCCGCGGAGCCCACTTTGATAACTAGATGGCAGTCAGAGACCTCTACCTGCCCTTCCTACACCCCTCCCACCAATGCCTCCAAACTGCGCCTCTTCACTCACAAACTGCGGTCATAGGGCTGCAGCTCCTGCTTCCCTGAGGGGGGCACAATGGCTGGGTGGGGGATGGCGGCTGGGTGGCCAGGTACTCCGGAGCCTAGCATCAGGGATGGATGGGTGAACCTGGAGGTGGGAGGAAAATTAACACTGAGACAGGTGTGCCGGAACCAGACCTGTGGGCATACGTGGAGGGCCTGCAAGGTACACGGAGACACAGCAAAACAGCTGACTTCTTCCATCAGCCTAGACACGAGTACACAGATAGGCGTGTAAATACCCACTCCAAACAACTGCACAGATGCACTGCAACATCCCACATGTGTGCCACTGAGCTTACTAAGTGCTAACTAGCTTTTGAGTCTGTCTCCTCCTTTCCCATCCCTCAACACCTCACAAGCCTGTGGCTGCACGTGGACCTCCTCTCCTTGTCTACTTGAGTTTATCTCCATACAACAGCTGGAGTGACCCTTTTTAAGATAATGCTTATGTCCCTACGTACTGGAATCCTCCCCCAGTACAACCCCAGGGAACAGCTGCTGACCTCTCTTGCCCCATCTTTCCCCCTGCTCTGCATCAAGTCCCCAGCTCACCAGCTCCTGTTCCCCTTGTCTCAGAAGATTGCCCGCCTTTTCATGAAGCTCTCTAAACCACTAAGTGTGGTTGGGTCTCCGTGGGGCTATCCTATCCCTCAGATGGTGCCACTCATCTGCTGGCACACTTCCTGCTGTGTGCTACGGTGCTGACCAGAATGGCCTGGACTCAGGTCTCTTGTACTCCCAGTGGCTCTGCTCTCAGGCATAGGGCAGCAGGGGCTGCAGGAGGAAGCGTGGACAGATGGACGAACAACCAGCACAGGGCAAGCAGTGGCTGGGCACAGGCTTGTGTGGGCATTGAAGCCTGGGCAACAAGAAGCAGAAGCCTGGCTGCAGGCTAGGGGACTCACCTGGGGTAAGGGGCGCCAGGGGCTGCAGTGGGGGCAGGGAAGTGCTGTCTATATCCGCAGGAAGGGGACAAGGGGTAGAGAGGAGGGCTGGGCCTGTGATTGGGAGAGACAGCTGTTAGCGGTCTAGCTGCTGGCCAGATGTTAGGAGTGTTGTGCCTGGGGCTGACCCAGAATGCAGCCAGTAGGCCTTGCTTGGACCACCCCACAGAGCTCAGCCTCTCCACAGCAAAGCTCTAACAGCCAGCAAGTGTGTGGGGAGTTAAGCAAAGGTGGCATGTGCTGCAAGCTTCTGCCACCAGGGGGCAATCAGTGCTGCACGGGTTTCTTTCTACCAGCTTGTTCTGATGGCTTCCAAAGAACAAGAAGAGTCCCTGAAGGCTCACTCCTCCAGATCCCCTCCAGCTTGTCTCTGCCCCTCACAGCAGGGCAGCTTCGTGAAGTCTCCTTGTAAATACAGGCTGATTCCTGCCTTAGGATCTTTGCATCCACTGTTAATACCGTCAACCAATTGTACATCAGCATTACTCAGCCTGTCATCCTTCAGTTTTGACTAAGTGACCTTCCTGAAAGCCCTGAGACTCCCGGCTAGTTAAGAGAACTCTCTGGGCTCCTTAGCCCCAGTAAAGCACTGCTCCCAGTACCCTGTTACTGCCTGATCTCTTGCCTGGGCCATCCAACTCATGGACTGAGTTTTGAGAAGGCAGGAACCTAAGGGTTAGTCATTGAGCAGTGCTTCCTGGCAAACAGTGGTACTGAGTGCAGAGATGGCTGTCCTGGTGGGTCTCCTCTCAGCCTCCTGTTACCCAAGTGCCATTCCCCCTCCTGTGTGCATGAAGCCCTTATCAGCACCTTGGGTTAACATTTCCTTTGTCTTCAGAGCTATTGGCTAAGGGATTACTTTAAGGATTTGTTTTCATAGCAACTTGGCCTGGCTCAGTCAGGCTTTCTGAGTACTTCCATCAAAGAGATAGTTCTGATTTCAGAATGGGGCTTTGTCTAAGGAGAACACTGAAATCAATAGTCAGCTGAATGTGGGTAGAGAGTGAGTGGTCCAGAGATTAGGCCTCTGGATTGGCCTGCATTCCTGGCAAGCTAAACTTTCTTGCTGCTGAGCGACTGTCACAGCTCAGAAGAACTGGATCCCATGGAAGCATGGTGAGTAAAGAGCCAAGGAGCTTGCCCAGGCTTGACTGTAGCCGAGGACAGGCCTGCTCACTTGAGGGGCTGGTACAGGCTGGCTTTCCAAGCCTTGTCTTAGTCAACTTAAAACAGGGTCTGCTGGGCAACCAGCAGCAGGTAGTGATAAGTATTCCCTATCCACAGGCCAGCTAAGAAGTAGCCTTTCTGGTGTCTCTCATGTTGTTACCTTCCTACACAGGCCAAACATTTCCTCCTCACATACTCCAGTGTCTCTGGGGGTTCCTGGAAAGGCCAGAGTTCATCCCTCCATATGGACTTAGACGCAAATCTCCCAACTTTCCAAATAGAGTATGTCAAGCTACTTGGGGAGCCCACCAGCCACGGGGCTACATGGAGTTCTAGCCTGGAGCTAGCTTGGGAGAGCACTGCATGCCAGGCCCTGCTTCCCATACTGCACTGGCAGCAGGTGATGAGGAAGGGAAGGTCTGGGTCAGATCAGCTGCTGGTACCCGTCCCACTGGGCCCGCACTTACCAGCTCACAGTGTGGGGAAGCTGTCCCATGCTGCCTGAGGTTAGCGAGTAGAAACCAGAGAGATCAGGAGTCTGCAGGGGTCTGTGAACTGCAGTGGAGATGGGCTGAGTAAAGGGACTAGCCTGACCCATGGGCCACTTCAGCTAGTTCATCCAACCTAAAACCTCATAAAAATGCCTCTGAAAGCCCATCCTCCTTTGTTAGAGGGCCAAACAAGTTTGTTCCACATAATTGTCCCATATGTCTCTTTTACAGGCAAGGGAACGAAGGACAGGTTGTGGGACTTGCCTAAGGACATCAGGTTGGCCTGTGGATAGGGTTGGAGTTTCTTAGGAGTGGTCTACTGCTGGTTGGCAATTTGGCCTCTGCTAGGGAGGAGAAAGGGTCCCTGGTTTGGAGGAGCCTGGTGGGGATGCAGGCTCCCCTGCCCCCAACCCTGGGGTTGAATCAGCAGGTTTCCCACAGCGACAGTAGTGGATTTCAGAATGACTTTGCCCGAGGCTGAAGTGAATCAGTTGTCACAACCACCACTTTCCATTTTCTCACTGGGGGAGGAAAAGGCTGCAAATTTTACACTTATTGGTTGTATGTAAATGATGCCATATTGTCACTAGGGGAGAGGAGGGTGCTGTAGAAAAATTTAAGCCCCTACCTATACCAACCTGAAGCCTTTACATTTTGATTTGGGACCACTCCTCCCAGCCCTCAGGACTCCCAATCCATCTTTCCAACATCCTTTTCTTTGGACCCAAGGCTAGTCCTGATTTCTCCAGCTGTGATATGGACCCAGCCACCTGGTCTCCTCAGAAGCCGTGAATTGGCATTCAAGCTCTGGTCCCACCAGGCTCCTCCCGATCCCAGGCCCATACCTTGCTTCTGGCTGATGTCTGCAGGTGCAGGTGTGGGATGTGGACTGCTGAAATGTTCATAGAGAGGAGAAAGCTGGGGGACGCCGTGAGGGGACTGATTGGCCTTGTTATGCTGAAAAATGAGAAGGAAATGAGTGAGAGTGGAAGGAAGGAGAGGCACAAAGGTGGAGCCTAGGAGTGTGCAGATAAGCAGAATGAAGGTGGGCTGCCCAGTTGCCTAAGCAGAGGGTAATGGTCAGAGACCACAGGCCTCACTGACAGTGGTTTTGCCCTCCTGCCCACTGGATCCCAGCACCACCAGCTAGAGTTTCTTGGTCTGTTTATTCACATCACAGGAGACATGGCTCCCTGTCCAGGACAATCTTACTGGCTTCTCAGCCTCAGACAGATTCCCCGATTACTTGGGTCCAATAGTTTTCCTCTGGGGTGCTTACACCCTCCATCCTTGGCAGCCGGGCATGATCTGAGGACTTGGTCTACCTATCACATGGCAGTCTGGGGGCTTTCTTTCCTCCTCTAGTCTCTAAATTGGGGGTCTTGAATAGGACCCTCTGTCTGACCTCAGCACTACCAGGATTTGTTGACACAAGGAAGAGCCACCTCAGCCCCCTAAAATTCAGAAGAGGTGGGGCCACGTGGGCCTGGCCCCCTGCACTTCCTGTTTCCTTAGCACCACAGGACTCTTACTTTTCACACTAGGTGTTGTTCTTTGTCTTGAGATGACTCAGTTAGCACTCTGGGAAAGGCACTCCCTACGAGACCCAGCTACAGGGAGCCGCTGCCTGCACTGAGCCTGGAGGCATCATACCACAGCAGCTTGGCCTCCAACCCTGAAAGATCCATCTGTGGGGTGCTGCTGGCTAGCATCACTGATGAGGAACCTCTGAATGGGGCACAAAGAAATGGAAATCTTTGGGACAAGACAGCAAAGCAAAGTTTGCCAGATTGCTTAGTATTTTTGAGCTCCGATTTTCTCCTCTTGTAACAAGGTTAATGATCCTTTCACCAAGCTTGGGGTAGGTGAAGTTATCTCCTAGTGAGGATGCCTGAGGGCCCCAGGAAGAAGCTAGTGGAAAAGCAAAGTGTGCACCTTCTTGTAGCCAAGTCTCCGGGGGCACAGCTTCCATCCTTCCACACATTCCCACCTCCAATGGAGCCTGAGGCCAGGCCACAAGCTGCACCCCTGCCCCTTGGCTAGTAGGGAAGAGGCCCACACCACCTTCTGTTTGTCTGTTGTTCACTCATCTGCCCACCAGGAGGAGCCCGAGGCAGATGGCCTTGAGGTCTCAGTAGGATTGGGGACTCATCTGAGGCAGGCATGGATTTGGCACCAGTGAGCCTTAATGAGTCCTTGCCACCCCCCTTCAGCCCGAGGCAAGACAGGGAAGTGTCCCTTCTGGCACGCCCAGGAAAAGCTGTGTGAGCTCTGAAGGGAAGCTCTGAAAGGAGATACGTGCAGACCCTGTGCAATGCTGATTCAGGATTTACTGTGTGGTCTTAGAAGTTACTAGGGTCTCTGAGGATTCCTTTCTTCCTTTGAAAAATAGAGATGATCATTAAGGTGGTTGTGAAGATGAAGAGGCAAATTAAGAGCTCAAATACTCAAGTATAAATAATGAGGAAGGGGCATGTGAGAAGTCCCTCAGTCACCCTGAAGAGCCATCGCAGGTGACGTGGAAACCCAAGGAAATGCCACCTACAGTGCCTCCCCAGGTGTCCCATGAAAGGGGGCTTGCTATCAGAGGGATCCCAGGCTGCTCCCATGGTCAGGCACCCTAAATGAACAGGGGAGGCTCATGCAGTGCCCTCTTTATCTCTAGCACCAAATCGATGCAGGCCTGGCTGTGCCAGGAAAAAGAGGGTGGCACAAGAGAATAGTAGAATGTGGGTGTTTCAGGCCCAGGAGTGTGTTGCAAAGGAGAAAGGAGTGGGCCAGGGCAGCTGTGTGTAACCCACACATGCCGAGTGCCTGCCTTATACATTGCAAGCCCTTCTCTCTTCCATCAGGTACTAGCAGGTTGTCTCTCTCCCCCACCTCCAACTCCCCCCTGCTGCTGCCTCGTGTAATGCTCTGCACAGCAGAGCTGTCTACTTTGTTGTCTCTGGTTCTCAGCTCTTACTCTCTCTCCTTGGCCCCATCCTTCCACCAGTCAGCTGATGTCCAGGCACCCAGGACTTCCACTTTGCTGAGTGACGTGTTCTCATCCTTATTTTACCTGATCAACCTCATGGGCACTTCCTGGCCTTGTGTCTGGCTTCCTTCTTCCTGATGTGACCTGGGCTTGGCCCTCTGCTCCACCGACCCTTACTCCTAGAGTACTTTCGTCTAGGCTTGTGGCTGCTAACATCTTCATCAAATGGTTCCAATCCCTGCTTTTCCTAGGAGTTCCACTTTCCAAGTGCTTATTCAAGCACACTGCCTGGAGTCCAATGCTCCCCAAAATCAAAATGCCCAAATCAGAATGCTTAGCTACCTGCTCCAAAACCCCCTTCTCCTTTCCCACTTCAGTTAATAGTCAAGACAAAATCTTTGGAATCATCCCTTGTCACTCCCCACATCCAGTGTGTGAGCTAATCCTAATCTTCCAAGTCTATCTAGAACATGACCACATCACACTCCCTCCACACCTCCCATCCAGTCCATGTCACCATCATTTCTCAATTGGACAACTGCAACTACCTCTTCACAGGACCCTGCTTCACTTGTGCCCCTGAGGTCCCCTCCAGCAGCCATGAACTGACCAGGCCACTTCCTTGCCTCAAGCTCCCAGTGTCTCCCACTACATTTTTCTGCATCTTATTCTAACTCCTTATCTGGGGCGCGACATACGTTATCATGCCCCCTCCCTCTCCAACCTCTTCTCCTTCCACTCTCCACTCCCAGTGCCCACAGTATCTCATGGCTGCTTCAGCCTCCAGCATCTTTCCTAATTTACTCCAGTGACAATGTTCTAAGTGGCCACAATGTGAAGGTGGGAAGCCTAGCTCTAGTCTTGCTAACTTCCCCGTTATGCACATTTGTTCCTGTCATCAGACCTTTCTGTTGGCTGTCTCCTCTTCCTGGACTGCATCTCTTCCAGACCTGTACATGGCACCTGCATTTAGACATCACCTTAGATGACACCTCTGAGCATTCCAGACCATTCTAGTTAACTGGCCACTTCACAGAGTGCACTTAGCAAGTATTTGTTGAGTGAATGAATCAATGAGTTGTATATCTCTGAAATTAGTATTGCCATCCTTATTTTGAAGCTGAGAAAACACGCCCAGAGAGGTGAAATGCCTTGGAAATTAGTGTGTCTGAGGCATGCCTTCCTCAGCATCTCTGAGCTGGGGGTATCCTTGCTATGATCACGGCTCCATCTCTGGTGTCCCTGGAGCTCATCTCTCTGTATGGTACAGAGAACACTGGACTTAAGAGCTAGATAGACATGGCTTCTAGTCCGCTCAAGACTATTTCCTCATCTGTAAAATGGGTTGATAATTTCTTTGGCCTAAGCACTACAAGTGACTCTGCTTCAATATAGGACTGTGAGCTGGTGTCATTCCTTCTCTGGGCTTCAAAACTCCTGCTTTATCCTAGAGTTTTCAGGAGCAGAAGCCAACCAAGGTCCTCTGATGGTGGGGAAGCCTCCTGGACAGCATCAGAACTGACCAGGCCCTAAGGGCAGGGAGACTGAGCCCAGGAAAAAAGGGCCTGGCTCGAAGAAGAAACAGTTGCAGCATTCTCCACCTGATGCCTAGAGGAATGACACTCCACAGACCTCCCCACAACCAGGGGTTTTCATGTCCTAGTTACTGTTTCAGAGAAGGCGCTGCCATCCAGCTCTGGCTTTGGGCTCTTCGGCTGTCAGGGCTGGCTCGTAGAGTGGGCATGGCCAGGGCCCAAGGTGCTGGTCTATGAAAACAGTCTCATGCTGTACTCTGCCCAGAGTTGGGGGATCTGCTCTGTGGTGGGTTTCTCAGTAAACTCTTCCTAGGGGTGCCAAGATTTGCCCAGGTGGCTAGAGTGGACTTTGTGACCATGCTGGGGCTGACCTAGGTCCACCTTTGCTCCCAAAGGCCTGATTTCAGCACAGCTCAGGCTGGGCCTACGAAACCTCCGAGAACCCAACCTGCAGCCACCTGCCTGTCCATATGCACGTGTCAAGGGCAGAAAAAGAAGGCATGTGAGGGAAGCTGCTTTATGGCAGTGGGCTCATCCTTCCAAGTCTCCCAGGGAACTAGGAAAGAGTCTCACTCAACAGGGGTACCCAGCCAAACCATGTAAGAACTGCTGGGTGGGCAGGGAGTCTGTGGTGGCCAGGACTCCAGAACAAGGTGCTGACAGCCTGGGCATCCTTCCCATGTCTGTGCAGGCGGCCTCTCACCTGCCAGCATCCCTTCCCGTGCCTGGTGGTGGTGGCCGGGCAAACCGTCTGGCACATGGCCCAGTGTCACATGCCCCCCTAAGCCTTGGAACGTCCCGCTCCAAGGCCTCAGCACAACACTGTCCCAGGGCCAGGCTGACCAGACAGCAGGGTGGGGTTGCCTGGGGCCTGGCATACATGTGGGTAACCGAACCACCCGTCAGTGTCTGGTGACCCTGCCCAACCTGCGGAAAGGAGTCAGGCCTGGTTTGATTCTTCCAATTAGGCACCAAGCATCTCAGTGGCACAACCTAATCTTTACCTGAAGGCACAGTGCCAAGCACACAGCTAAGCTCAGAACACAGTGTATACAGTATAAACGAATGAACAGCAGCACCGTCATACTCTCTGGGCTTCTTTCCTTACTAAGGATCCACATGATCTGAACACTCCAGTGTCCCTGGTTTTCTGCCCCTATGGTGGTAGTTGTGGCTGTTTACTGCCCACATCCAGACTACACTACTCCAGGAAAGCCCAGGAATCAAAGACCCTGAGGACCGTGTCTACTCCAAGTGGCCACACAGTCTCTATTCCCACCAGTGCTGCCTTGCATTGTGTTGGCTGCCTTGTGGCAGGGCTCACTCCCAGCAGAAGTGGTCCATCCTATTACCACGATGCTCATACTGCTGCAGGACTCTTCCCCACCCTGAAGCACTGTCTCCTGTCCCTGAGGTGCCCCTAGCCCCACCGAGAGGCTTCCATT